AAAAGAGATTTTCTTATATGGATTAATACAGCACATGAAGGGGTGTGTGAGCGATTGGAGGCAGGGCTGTGCAGAGGGAGGTGCCCAGGGGTGCTGGAGGTGCAGCAGGTCTGGAGCAGCCCCAGGCCAGGAGCTCCTGGTGCAGGTGAAACCTCCCAGGCAGAGCAGGTGACTGTGCCAGCTCAGCTGTGGGCAGCAGGAGCCTGCTAGATGGTTCTGGACAGGCTTTTCATTTAAAAACAGCCAAACCAGCAACAAGCCCCAAACCAAAGAGCCCTGGAAGGAACCGCATTTGATGCTGAAATAGAGATACAGCCCAAAAGCTTTGCCCTGGTAAAGGTCAAGGAGCACCAGCAGTCAGAAGCACAAGCCTGTGCCAGCCCGGCCTCTCCAGAGAGGCCCTTTGGGTGCTGGGTGTCTGTTCCCCTTTCCCAGGATATTTGTAGTCCATTTTACCTGTCACATTGCCTGATCATATTCCAGCTTTGCAGAACGGAAAGAGATTGTTGTGCTCACAGGTGTGCAGTTGGGCAAGGGTTAAAGTAGTAATTGTTTAAATCTTTTAGGCTTTCCTCCCAGTTCTGTGATAATTTGATGAAGAACTTCACCCTAATTAAATATTCAAATTAGGAATAAGTGTCAATATGGCTTCCTGGTGCCTGGAATGATGATTAATTGTATTCAAAACTCTAGTGGCCGCTGTAATCTAAACCAAACCGTTGTTCTTGATTATTTGTGCAACACATTTACCATGTTTTTGTTTTAAAATTTAAACTAGTAATTGATTTGCCATATGCCACAGTACTGCGCATACTTTCACGATATGTGTTTAGGAACTTGGGGACTTTGTAATTGGGATTTTCTTGCTTTTCTATGGCAGCCTCTTTTTTTTTGTCTTCTACAATGCAAAATGATTTGGCTCTCACAACACATAAGGAAAATGCATTATGCAATCAAGTTGGTAGGTATAAGCTATATTGATCCTGGCCAAGGTTTACATTAATTTAAAATAAATTAGGCTTTGTTTCCCATTCCTCCCTACAATGTCATCTTTTATAAAAAGAAAGAGAGAAGGGGAGAGCTGATTTCCATCCAGCAGTCACTGCCCTGTCTTGTGCAGCTAATGTTCTTTTTGGAGACATCTCTGTGGCTGTCTGAGGCGGTAGAGTAATGGAATGCCCAGTTGTCCTAGCTCAGGGATAGCAAATGCCCCAGAGCAGGCAGGCCATCATTTCCAGACGCCCTCGTTACACCACAGGCAGGGTGGGAGTGCTGCCCAGTGCTGGTGTGTGCTCAGTGCCTCGTGGGGGAGCGATCCGTCCTCATGGCACACCTGGCACGTGCCCACCCTGCAGGGTCAGCCTCTCCTACAGCACAAGTTGGCACAAACTTCTAAAAAAAGCCCCATCTCCTTAGAAATGGGCTTTTTAAGTTGATCTGGTTTATTTAGCTCCAGAACTATTTCTGCTGAGAAGAAAGCAGTTCTCCATAGAGGACAGAGAAACCGAGTCTTTCTACTGGCTGCCTTTGATGCCTTGGAAAATATTTTTGAATACTTCTATTATAAATTGAATGAGAAGCATGTCATGCCCACAGGCAGTGGTCTCCTGTTTTAAAGTGTTCATAACACACATGCCTCTGCTCCAGAGACTCTCATGTGGATTGTGTTTTAAACAGCAAACTGATAGCCAAATTCAAATATATTTTCACACCATCTTTTTTTGGTTAAAAATAGCTTTGGAAAGCACAAGCAAACTCAGACTGATGCTTGCTTTTTCTTATTTTATCTGTACTGTTCACCATCATCTGCATCAAGGGCTAAAAATACATTGTTCTTCCCAAAACATGTCCTGTTTCTGAAGGCAGATAAGTTCCAGATGGCTGGTGTGGTAGATAAAATCTGCTGGCTGAGGACGTGGGTTTGGTGCCCTGCTGGAGAATGCAGGGCCCTGTCTCGCACACCCAGGCGACACAAGGGGACACGAGGGCTGCCTGGCTCTGCTGGCAGTGCTCGCTGTCTGCCCGGGGCAGGAGCTGCTCCCTCTGCCTCGTGCTGCACCGAGCCCTCTGTGAAGAGGGAGCGCCTTTTTTACGTGTGGCAAGGCGGTCCAGAAGGTTAATGATAATATTTAATTAGAATTGTCGCAGACTGGGGCTCTGCATTGGAGGAATGCAGGTTAAGGTGAAGGGGCAGAGCTGTGCTGGCTGTTTGTGGGTGCTGGCCCTGCCTGCCCTGGGCTGAATGTCCTGCTGGGGCTGGATGGACACTGCTGCAGCCCTTGGTTGTTGGCCGAGCCCAGGGCCCAAGGGCTGGAGGGGCTGACACTGAACAGTTGGCAGGCAGTTTTGGAAGCAGTATTAAAATTGATGTTTGCTGCTTAGCCTGCCTGGAGCTGACAGGAGCAGCATCCTGTGCTCTGTGTGACCGTGTGTGCCTGTCCTCCCTCGCTCTGTGTAACCGTGTGTGCCTGTCCCTGCTCTCTGTAACCATGTGTGCCTGTCTTTGCTCTGTGTAACCGTGTGTGCCTGTCCTCCCTCGCTCTGTGTAACCGTGTGTGCCTGTCTTTGCTCTGTGTAACCGTGTGTGCCTGTCCCTGCTCTGTGTGACCGTGTGTGCCTGTCCTCCCCTGCTCTGTGTAACCGTGTGGGCCTGTCCTCCCCTGCTCTGTGTGACCGCGTGTGCCTGTCCTTGCTCTGTGTAACCGTGTGTGCCTGTCCTCCCTTGCTCTGTGTAACCGTGTGTGCCTGTCCTCCCTTGCTCTGTGTGACTGTGTGTGCCTGTCCTCGCTCTGTGTGACCATGTGTGCCTGTCCTCCCCTGCTCTGTGTAACCGTGTGTGCCTGTCCCTGCTCTGTGTAACCGTGTGTGCCTGTCCTCCCCTGCTCTGTGTAACCGTGTGTGCCTGTCCCTGCTCTGTGTGACCGTGTGTGCCTGTCCTCCCTCGCTCTGTGTAACCGTGTGTGCCTGTCCTCCCCTGCTCTGTGTGACCGTGTGTGCCTGTCCTCCCTTGCTCTGTGTGACTGTGTGTGCCTGTCCTCGCTCTGTGTGACCATGTGTGCCTGTCCTCCCCTGCTCTGTGTAACCGTGTGTGCCTGTCCCTGCTCTGTGTAACCGTGTGTGCCTGTCCTCCCTTGCTCTGTGTAACCGTGTGTGCCTGTCCTCCCCTGCTCTGTGTGACCGTGTGTGCCTGTCCTTGCTCTGTGTAACCGTGTGTGCCTGTCCCTGCTCTGTGTAACCGTGTGTGCCTGTCCCTGCTCTGTGTGACCGTGTGTGCCTGTCCTCCCCTGCTCTGTGTAACCGTGTGTGCCTGTCCTCTCTCGCTCTGTGTAACCGTGTGTGCCTGTCCTCCCCTGCTCTGTGTAACCGTGTGTGCCTGTCCTCCCTTGCTCTGTGTAACCGTGTGTGCCTGTCCCTGCTCTGTGTAACCGTGTGTGCCTGTCCTCCCTCTGTGTAACCGTGTGTGCCTGTCCTTGCTCTGTGTGACCGTGTGTGCCTGTCCTCCCTCGCTCTGTGTAACCGTGTGTGCCTGTCCCTGCTCTGTGTAACCATGTGTGCCTGTCTTTGCTCTGTGTAACCGTGTGTGCCTGTCCTCCCCTGCTCTGTGTAACCGTGTGTGCCTGTCCTCCCCTGCTCTGTGTAACCGTGTGTGCCTGTCCTCCCCTGCTCTGTGTGACCGTGTGTGCCTGTCCTCCCTCGCTCTGTGTAACCGTGTGTGCCTGTCCCTGCTCTGTGTGACCGTGTGTGCCTGTCCTCCCTCTGTGTAACCGTGTGGGCCTGTCCTCCCCTGCTCTGTGTAACCGTGTGTGCCTGTCCTTGCTCTGTGTAACCGTGTGTGCCTGTCCCTGCTCTGTGTGACCATGTGTGCCTGTCTTTGCTCTGTGTAACCGTGTGTGCCTGTCCTTGCTCTGTGTAACCGTGTGTGCCTGTCCTTGCTCTGTGTAACCGTGTGTGCCTGTCCTTGCTCTGTGTAACCGTGTGTGCCTGTCCTCCCCTGCTCTGTGTAACCGTGTGTGCCTGTCCTCCCTCTGTGTAACCGTGTGTGCCTGTCCTTGCTCTGTGTAACCGTGTGTGCCTGTCCCTGCTCTGTGTGACTGTGTGTGCCTGTCCTTGCTCTGTGTGACCGTGTGTGCCTGTCCCTGCTCTGTGTAACCGTGTGTGCCTGTCCCTGCTCTGTGTAACCGTGTGTGCCTGTCCCTGCTCTGTGTAACCGCGTGTGCCTGTCCTTGCTCTGTGTAACCGTGTGTGCCTGTCCTCCCCTGCTCTGTGTAACCGTGTGGGCCTGTCCTCCCCTGCTCTGTGTAACCGTGTGTGCCTGTCCTCCCTCGCTCTGTGTAACCGTGTGTGCCTGTCCTCCCCTGCTCTGTGTGACCGCGTGTGCCTGTCCTTGCTCTGTGTAACCGTGTGTGCCTGTCCCTGCTCTGTGTAACCGTCTGTGCCTGTCCTCCCCTGCTCTGTGTAACCGTGTGTGCCTGTCCTCCCTCTGTGTAACCGTGTGTGCCTGTCCCTGCTCTGTGTAACCGTGTGTGCCTGTCCCTGCTCTGTGTAACCGCGTGTGCCTGTCCTTGCTCTGTGTAACCGTGTGTGCCTGTCCCTGCTCTGTGTGACCGTGTGTGCCTGTCCTCCCTCTGTGTAACCGTGTGTGCCTGTCCCTGCTCTGTGTGACCGTGTGTGCCTGTCCTCCCTCTGTGTAACCGTGTGTGCCTGTCCCTGCTCTGTGTGACCGTGTGTGCCTGTCCCTGCTCTGTGTGACCGTGTGTGCCTGTCCTCCCTCTGTGTAACCGTGTGTGCCTGTCCCTGCTCTGTGTGACCGTGTGTGCCTGTCCTCCCCTGCTCTGTGTAACCGTGTGTGCCTGTCCTCTCTCGCTCTGTGTAACCGTGTGTGCCTGTCCTCCCCTGCTCTGTGTGACCGTGTGTGCCTGTCCTCCCCTGCTCTGTGTAACCGTGTGTGCCTGTCCTCCCCTGCTCTGTGTAACCGTGTGTGCCTGTCCTCTCTCCCTCAGGCACATCTCGCTGACGCTGCCGGCCAGCTTTCGGGGCAAGAGCCACAGCAGCCGCCTGGACCTGGAGCACCAGCACTCCAACCTGTACGCCATCTCAGGTGAGCTCACCCGCCCTGCTGGGCCCCTGCAGTGCTCTTGGAGGGCTTGCTGGAGTGCTATTGCACCTGAGCAAATATTGTCATAGCCGTGGCGGAATCACACTTAGCACAGGGTTTGCTCTGTCATGTTGTTTTTGCAAGAGGAGAAAGATACTGGATTTAAACCTGACTCTGTCAAAGCCTAATGAAAGTCTAGTCCCGTCATCTGGCTGAAGGAGATTTTAGGACAGTTTGGAAATTCAGCAGTTGGTTCAGTGGGCTGGTTGTGCAGTTGAAACTCCTTGTGCATAATCAGGGAAGAGAAGATGGCAAAAATGTACCATTCACAGGTCCCTCCTATTAATAGTGAGTGACACTTGCAACATGGGAACATGGCATTAATTCATGTACCATAATCAAAGGGTTATTTAAAAGGTAATCTCTGCCTGAAACTGCAGCTTCAAGTTCCCAAAGAGATAGAATGTAAGAATGCATAATCCTTGTCAGTCCTCGTTTTTCTTGTTACTCTCCTGCCCTAATACATTTGGAAATGTGAGGGAAGGTGTATTCCTGTGTTCACAGGAGACAATTCTGCATGGGGATGGGAAGCTGTGCTTTCTCTCTGGGAAGGCGCCAACTGCAGCAGCTCTGTGTGGTGTTGGTGGGGCTGCCCTTGCTGCAGGATGTGTGGCCTCTGCTCGTGGAGCAGCCCGAGGAGGCGCCTGCTTTACAGAGAGCCTGAGCACTTTACCAGATCCTTACAGGCAAAGCACAAAACAAGGCCTTGTAGAACTGGGCAGAGCATTAGTTCTTCATGTTTACTTGAGCACATTTTCAAGTATAACTCTTTATTTTTCCTCCAATTGCACATTCTCCTCCAGAAACACTGTTATGAGTTGTGCGTGTGTTGTAATGGCTATTACAGCTGTGAGTTCTTTCCAGAGAAAGGGTCTTGTCATTTGACACGTGCTGTGCACTGACAGGATTTTGGTGCACGGCTCCTGCCCACGGCTGCCTTGTCAGCAGCTGCAGCGAGGTGCCGCGTGCTCTCTTTGTGTGCTCGAGCCTTGCGGGGTGGACTGGTCCCCAGACACGCTCTGGGAGCCATTGCCGAGTTTCCTGTTCGTCTGGGCTCTCTGCAGTGCTGCTGCAGTGCCATGGCAACAGGAGATTTAGGAGCAGGCTGCCACGCCTGGGCTGCTGCCAGGGCTCCCCGAGCGAGCTGGTGCTGCAGGATGTGTGCTGGATGATGGAGCTGGGCCTCGGCACGCACAGGGTGCCTCTCTGCCTGGGCACAGCCCTGCGGGCACGGCTCACTCTCTGGGCTCCCAGGTCAGAACAGGGGTTCTTGGGGCTGCTGAGGAAAACAAAAACCATTAGGAGCAGTCTCTTCCCCTTTCAGTATGGCCTCAGTCTGCTGTGGGCGCAGGAGGAGCTGCTTGGGAAGGGAGGGCTGGCATGGGGGTAGGATGAAGAGCTGCAGCTTGGTCTCTCTTTGCTCTCTATAGACATCCAAGATTTTCTCAGTACTTGATGAAAGCAACACTTCCAGCTGTGGTTCAGCATGTTTGGGGAAGGTAAAATGAATTTTGGCTGTCGATTCTACTTTGTATCTCAAATATATTTTGGCAGAATGACTGTATCCTCACTGGAACTGCCCATTACCCCTTGGGCTGTGTAGTGCAATTGTTGTTTGCACAAAACTGGACTCAATGAAAAAATGGTCCTGAAAGCTGTAATTACAATTTTTAACCATTCTTTTGTCCTTGCCGGTCTTGGCCATGACACACTGGGTGACCTGAAGGTTAAGGAGACTTCTCTTGGCATATACTCCTAAGTGAGACCCTGGCAGGGTGCCGATAGAGAAGCGGTGCCCAGAGCCTGTCACGACCCACGGCAGTGCAGCACTGGCACTGCTGGCATCGTCCTCGTGCCCAGCAGCCTCCCTCGTCCCTCCCCGTGCCATGCACCCAGACCAAAGGCAGAATTAGGGTTTGTGATGTGCAGAACGTCTGTGGGTGCTGCTGGGAGCAGGATGCTGAGGAGCTGCCAGGTTTAATGTGCATGCTGGGGCAGGCAGCTGCTGGAAGAAGAATGCCTTGCTGCAGAGAGACCTGTTGACAGACATGGCTCAGTATTTCACAGCACAGTCTTTCCTCATGGCCTTCAGTTTAATTAAGATGTTGTTGTGACTACATACTGCCTTCATTTCAGACTTGAGCATCTTCTGCCAGCATATTGCTTTGGCTTATCAGAGGCACAAGCACAGTGAGGGAGAGGCAGCCCTCGCAGGCAGGCACAGATAATAACATACAGGGAAAATTCCTCAATGAAGTGAAAAATTATTTATAATAATGGTACTCAAATAGAAGGGAAATAAGTCACTCTAAGGGTATATAAATTTTTATGATAGTGTATAAACAGCCATAGCCTGCCTTGTCTCCCATCTATCCCTGCAGAGAATGAGGGCAACATCTAGCATAAAGAAAAATACAATAAGAAAATGAAGAAATGAATGGGAAGAGCTGGAGGATTGATCACCCAGTGTATTTGTATATCCTGATGTAAAAGGTGCTGCTGACAGGTGGCCAGGTTTCTTCTGTATAAAACCATGTGTGTGCTGTCAGGGCAGTGTGAGCAGCCTTGTTTCGATTGATGAATTGCCTGCTTTCTTGATTAAACCTTCCATCACTTACAAAACAAAAAGCCTGTGTTTCAATGGCAGAGTGGGACATGTCAAAAAAATCTGTCTGCTCTACCTTTGTGCAGATGTTGGGCACAGACTGTAACATGTATTATTAAAATGAATGTGGCATTTACCGTGCATTATTTCTTTCCTGGGAGAAGGGACCTGTAAATTATATGCTAATAATAAGCTTTAACCCTTTCAGGAACCAAGAGATGTAGGAATGTAAATATTCTGCAGGCCTCACTTAATTGGATGGGGTCTAACACCACAGCAGCACTCTGAAGTTACTAAGCAGTGAATTCCAGCCCTTGCTGCTGGTGATCTGTGCATTCTGCTGAACAGATTTCCCTGTAGCCATCTTCAGCATTGTATTACAGATAGATGTGTTTTGGGGCAGCAGCAGACAAGTTTGTGTAATTTGACTCCAGAACAATCTCGCCCCCTCTCTTGGCCTGTTCTCTGATTAGGATAGAAATTGTGTTGTCAAAATTGTGTAAGTACCTTAAGAAATTATGTTACCTGGATGTACTAATATGTCATCCATAAGTTTGGGCATCCATGCTCAAGTCATGTTAATCCTTAGAAATAAAGCAGGATCCAGAAGTGCAGCGTCTCTCACTACCCGGAGCATTCTCAGTTCCGTTCAGGACCTTGCTGAGCTGCAGGTGAAGGTTTTCATTCCCTTTAAGAGGAAAGAAGCCGTGTCTAAGCCATGGGTTGGAGCTTAGATGTCAGATCCCAAAAAGCATAGCACGCTTTATCTTCTGATAAAGGAACGCCCGTGCTGTGACCGAGACCGCAGCACTCGCTGTTTGTTTTGCTGAGGAGCCGTGGGTTTTCCAGCAGTCATTTGAGGCTGAGATGCCTTTACATGTATTTCCTACCTTGAAGGTGCTGCTTTGTGGTCTTTAAACCCTTCATTGATCCATCTCAAGTGACTGTGTGAGGTGTTTTCCTGTGAGAGGCCGGGCTGAGCAGGGAAGGGAAGCGCGGCCGGCTGCCAGCGCAGTGTTGGCTGCAGTGTGTGTGCCAGCATGCCGTGAAGGAGGAGGTTTCCCTGTGCGGCTCTTGCAGTGCCAGTTGCTCCACACCTCTGGCTTGTTTATTTTGGAGTCACACACCAGTATTTATTACCTTAGGGAGGTAAATATTTACTTAAATGGGTATTTATTATATTTATATTGAGGTAGTTTTTTATATTTAAATATTTATTGCCCTCTTTCAGACACTTTGTGTGAAAGGTCAGAGCAAAGTGTGGTCTGAGTTTGGAGAGGGAAGCATTGGTGGGCAGAGGCTCCGGTGCAGTTCCACTGCTGGGTCTCACAGGTGAGCGTTGCCAGCAGGAAGCGCAGGGCAGAGCCCCAGGGCAGGGCAGAGGGTCTCAGCCTGGGCAGCCCAGCCGGGGCCAGGTGGGCCAGGTGAGCCAGGCCCTGGCGTGGCACGAGTGGAGCTGAGCTGGGCTGGTCTGCACCAGGATGGGCTGCTCCTGCAGGCGCTGCGGCGGCGTTTGGCGATCACTCCACGCAGGTTTCTAATCCAGCTCTCTGGAGGCAGCAGAGAGACTGCAAACTGATGTTAATGGTCTGGAAAAATATCAAAGCCAGTGGGTTCCTGGGAAGGAAACGGAGCTGCTTTTCCTGCTGCGGGCTGGGGCTCCCTGCGGGGGCAGGTGCCGCCTCCCTGGGCAGGGCCGTGGGAAGCGTTTGCTTCTCACACTGCTCCCGAGGCAAACTTTGATTCCTCCTGCACGGGAGGGGCTCACTTGGAAATGCCTTCGGGTACCCGCTCCCCCGTCCCCCTCATTGTTTTTCTTTTGTACTTTGGTAGTGACAAAAGTCTCTTTCAGAGCTCTTTCTAAATTCAGATGTTGTTATATTTCAGTGCCCATGTGTCAACTTCCTTCTTGTTGCAAAATGCCAGGTCAAGTGGCCACATGTGCCACTTCCTTACTTGTCTGTTTCCTTTGAAAAGACACATCTCTCTTCTGTGTATAGAAGGACAGGTGTTTTAATCAGAGGTTAATAATTTATTTCTACAAACTATTGTTTTGCTTCATTATTTTTGTAGATAATTAAATTATGCACTTGTCACAGTGTATTTACTTCACTAAAACAGGTAATTCTGAAAAAAAAGGGAGATTCTATTCTTTGGATCAGTGCACAAGGATTGCTTTTATCTTCATCTTCTAGCACAGTTCCTGGTGGTTCTGCGATTGCCTCTAATGTTCAAGGGTTTTGAAACCCCCAGTCTTGGAAGGGAAGGTCCTGTGCTGCATCCTACTGTTGGTCCCCATCCCTTCACTTAAGGTCTTCGTGCTTTTTAAGAGTAGAAG